GTTTTAGTACCAGGGTTAGTATGTTTTACAAAGTCATTTTGCAGCTATGAAATAACTTCATGGACATAATTTGCAATTGAACAAAAAGGTGATAAATCACAATGCAGACTATTGCAAAATGTTAAAAATCAGGTGACGGCATCACCATCAGATGGTGGGTTCTACCTGCAAGCAGCATCGATGAAAACTGATCAATCCAACGGCTGCCGAGGTTTCTCACTCTGTATCAAAGTGGACAGAAAGATGTACCAACTAGCCTATAAGTGCTATGTTTCCTTGAGCTGTGGCATGAGCACTCAGTCTGTTTTGACATCTTTTTCCTCTTGCCACATCGGAGAAAATTAGAAATGATAGTTTTAGTTTTCTGCAAGTTATTGAGAGTAATGTGAGCGGGGAAAAACACACTCTCTTATGCGAGTACTTGTCTGGAATTACATGTAGAGCATGTCAAACTTCCATTATGGGATTCTTCCAGTAAAAGTAATCAACTTTAAGTACGTTTGGATTTTGGCCTGAGCCCAGGTCCTGAATGGACAGCCTCAGCTACTTTAAAACTGTGCAAACATGTAAGATTAATTTTAGGATCAGCAGCACGGTTATGTAGCCAACGTGTAGCTGTAGGTTGCTGGATATCGAGCCAGCTTTTTGGGGGCTCCCCCACTATGCAATGCCATTCCTTGTCTAGAGTGTAACGGGTGCGTGACTCCTCCCATTACTAAATCAGCAGAAATCGGTCAAACCTTTCCTTTCTTACTAAGGCTGCCCCACGAGCAAGGAGGATCGAGTTTCAATGAAGTTTGCTTTTTCCATGCTGTGAATACAGATGTCAACTGCCAGCGGAGGGTCTAGCTGGTGCCACGGCTGGCTATGCATGTCTGAGCAGGGACTTGGCTGGCTGATCACAGCCGAGGGGTGCCGGGCTGGGTTCAGTGGGGGAAGATGCCTGGAAAGTAGAGGGGCTTTCCACATTTCAGCTATGTCTAAAAACTCTTTTGATGTTTTGCCTGGCTTACTCTGATGTTCACGTTCTGTGTGACAGACCCTGCCTCTCTCTGTTTTGTATAAAAAACCTTCTCGCTCACCTCCCTTCTGTTGTAGATCGCACGTCTCCGGTTAGAAAATCTCGCTTGTTTCAGTGGGATTATGGAAAATCTATAACAGGTGGGCTTTGTTTTAGGGATACGTCTTTTCTAATTATGTGTTTGCAGTATGATTTGGGTGGGTGGCCTCTGGGCTAAATGGTCTCTGAATTCTAGTCTGCTGCCTGCCTGCTCTTTGTTCCATCATGGCAGGTTCATAGAGTTCGGTGATGTTTTTGTGTTAATAACTGAATTACAGGTAAAATCACCAGGGCATCAGAACTAAAACTATCTGAAATTAAAGCTCAAAACTAAAACTGAAAGATTTTTAAGATGTTCATTTTACATACAGAAACGGCGCTATTTGCCATCACAGCCAGAGTGCTGTGTCATTACATAGATGGTACCAAAACAGCACCTTGGTAGCAGTTAATGGTTTTAATGTATACTTGGCAGTCTTTTTAAGGAGCTGACTAGCTGTCTTTAAGGTTTAAGGAGAGGTGATCATGAGAGGTACGCTGGTACACTATCCACTCAATAACAGTGGATTTTTTTTTTTTTTTACTACCGTTTCATCAACCAAAACATATTTGGAGGCAAAAGACACAAAAGAATCTCACGTTGTTGGATCACTTAAGGATAGTGGTTTTAAAGTACTCAGCTGGGAAGGGAAAGGCAATAGGAAATGTGGTCGGATGGTATTTGACCTCATACCAGAAACAACAGAGTACATCGTGTAGCTGCAGAAAGAGGTTCATTTGACTCCCGAACCTCATGCATACTTGGTCCCAGCAGACATCTAAGTACCGGCCAAGGAAAAGCTAGTGGTCACTCATCCTGCACTTCTTGTAGAACATTGTTCAAGATGGTGTGCTTTTATTTGGCTTGCGTTTAAAGCATGGAAGTAATAGTACCACAGTGTGCAGGAAGATTGGGGGTTTGGCTGTACTTCTACTGTCCTTTCTGGTGGACCTTAAAATTAACTTTGCCACTCAAGGTTTAAATGTCAGGAAAACCTTTACATTAGAAGAAAAGAATAATTTAACGTGTGATGGGAAGCTTGTGCTCGACAGTGTGAAAAGATGTAAGTATTATCAGCATCTCCTTCAGCCAGGTTCTACTGTTAGCTAGCTGTATGTTTCTTTTGGCTGCTTAATGCAGACTTTAGATAAAAAATAGTTTGTGGGCCTTGTGATTTCTGAAAAGAGACTGCTTCAGAGTTTTGTTTTTTCCTTATTTTGTATTTGCCTTGAGTTCCAAGGCAAGTAACATCTAAGTTGACTTGATTTGCTTCTCACATCTGGATCTTGTATCCTGAACAAATCCTAATTGTATTTTTCTTTTTCTTTGTTTTATTGTGTTCCTTTTTATATTTCTCTCTATTTATTGTTCATATGCTTTTGTCATTTTACATACTCAACATTCTTTTTGATTTTAAATGAAAGTCAAGAGCAGATGTGCCAGATGAAATATATTAGGACTTGACTTTTGGCATAGTCTTAATATGGAGCTCTAGCAGGTAATTTCAGTTTTAGGGAAAAAAGGCATAAGCAGCTTCTTTGTAATGATGAGCTTTAGTACCAGCCTGGTCTATGCAGGTAGTTGAAATTGGGTCAGACTTTCCCCTTAATGCTTACTGTTAAATGCCATATTTTGACACCAGGTGGGGATCAGTGGATAGCCTTAATTGTCAGCTCTGTACAGGAGCAGAAGGATGACAGATAGCGCTATCTACTTAATTACATTGGGACATGTTGATTATCTTCTTATCATTTACTACTCTGGCAGTCCTTTAGGGTCTTGTTATTCATACTTTTGTGACTTTGAAGGATGGCTGCTCATTTTTACGAAAGCATCGTTGTTCCATCAAGATAATGGCACACAAAGAGAGAGTTGGGGGAGGACAGACTCAATGTAACTGGATTAGCTCTTATGCAATTGCTCCTTGAGGTGCTGTTGATGGCACACCCATCACCAACCACGTAAAAGGACTGTGCTAGCTTTCTTAAGCCTGCCTGCTTCATCTGAAAGAGTGACTCATCTTTTAATCAGCTAAAATAATGTGTACTGATGATGCACAAAAGCTGCTGCTGAGTTTGATGAGCACTTGGTTTCGAGCCTGATTGGAACTGCAGAATTCAGCATTTTTGGATCTTGATTCATATTAGTGGCTACACCTCTTTATGGCTAAAAATATACCACAATATTGAGTTAACATTACTAGGAAAAACCTAAATTGTACTATGTTGTGCCATCATTCACTTTGGGTGACCTTTTAGTGATATTGCAGGGAGTCCAGTCCAAATTTCACATTGGGTTACACAATCAGTCTGAAGTCTGGCAGGAAGGAGTACCCATGGCCCTCTAGTAATTGTGTACATGAGCACATCAGAGAGCGCGTTAGGCTCTCTGTTGGCGTGAGAGTTAGCTTGTGAGCTGTTGTGAGGATTACAACTGAGTGATATGTCTGTATGCGACGGTGCCAGGAGCAGCATACCCTCCCAACAGCAAGCTCAGATAGTGATGGAAGACTTGACCTCTTGATAACTGATTTATAACGGTTCACGTTTGCAGTGGTCGAAGACCCCAGTTTATTTATAACGGAGTCAATTACATTTCAATACGCGGAGCTGGATTAACTCCTAGTAAGGAGTGTGATCTACAGACGCTTTTTTAAATTTTTTATTTTTTATTTTTTATACAAATTAAGAGAAATATTAAATTTGAACTTTTTATTTAAAACAGAAAAATGAGGATGAGGAAAAAAACTGCAAATTCAGAGGAACAACAGTTAAATGTGTTCTATGCTGACATTTTAATTACCCGACTGCTTCCAAACCACAATTTGATAATTTGCCCATATGTTTCTGCATCTACTTTGTGCTTCTTCATGTATATTGTCATGCATCACAGACAAAATATTTGGTCACAATCAAATAAAAGGCAGGCGCACCATACCTGGGCCTGTGCATGGTGTGCTTCCATTGTAGGTTCACGTCATTAAAAACAAAAACAATATTTTCTGCTAACCAATGCAGAATGCTCTTCTGTACTTTGGTAACAATCTCAATCATCTTATTAAACACACACACCGGCACGCATGTACACACACATACACACACGTACACACAGTTTCCATGGAAACAGAAACCAGGGCCTTTTATGATTGGTTGTTTGCCCAAGACAACCAAAAATGGTCTCGGCAGCCATGCAAAGATGGGAGATACATCATTTGTATAATGAGTAATGGGACATACACTAATGAAGAAAATAAGATGTTTGTTGTTGCCTGAAGGAGTCGTGTCACGAAATTCGATCATGAAATTGTCATAGAGTATAAATTGAGTATAAAACCCAGTTTTTCAGTCTGTTTAGGGTGACGGCAGACATCTCGGCTCTTTTTTTTTCTGTTATGTTCTCAGACTGCATGTGATGCGTTCGAACAGGCGTGGAACTGCCACTAACGTGGACAGTATCTGTAATAACCACACACAGGCACAGATTCGGGAGCAAACACACACACATATGGACACTTTCCCCTCATGCTGCCCTTTAGTTGCCTAATGTGTGTCTGAGTTGCAGATGGCTAAACGGTAGGAGGGCTGCTTCTGTGTTAGCCATGGTGCTAGCAGTCTTAGATTTGGCTTGTCCTGGCCTGCTGGAGTGAGAGTGAGCGGCCAGCTACCCCCTCTCAGTGACGATGGCAAGTGTACAATTCACGGCTGTGCACTCGCTCAGCATCAAGCTTTACTGTAGTTGCAGGACAAACCTGTGTATTTCTTTTCACAGGAGCCAAGCGGTGTGGTCATTTGACGCTCCGCTGTGGATTAACAGTGTCATTTTGGCTCTTGTGATGTTTTTATGTGTGCTGGCCTGCTTTTTACTTCAGTTGTTTTGATACATTTGTGTTCACAATCACAGGAAGCAAGCTGACCAAGGACCTGAAGCAGTATCTGAGCCAGCGCTTCCAGAAGTCCTCGCCTGACCACGAACTGCAGCAGACCATCAGAGACAACCTCTACCGTCACGCTGTGCCTTGTGAGTTCATGACATGTCTTTTGCTGAATCCTTCTTGTGTCTTTCACATTCCGTTCTTTTTAATAAGTATGCATTCAAGAAATGTATGAGACTTGCATCAAAACACATAATTAAAGGAATCATACAAACGCATACATCAAAGTCTGTCCAAGTACAGTATACATCTTCAGAAGATTCTAGGGTACGTGACCATCAGTCATTTATCCAGTGCTCTTCCTCTTCCTCACATCAGCAACGATATTCTTAAAGAACATCAGTATTGATCAGTCTTATGCACATGATTAACCATCCCTAAATACTGTTTAAGCAGTAGCGTATTACCATTACCAGGGGACAGTGTTGTGTAAGCATCCAAACAAAATCAGAAAACTCTTCGTTTAGGTCATTGCAAACCGCCGTCTCACATCCAGGCTTCATTAGTTTTAGATCCATGTATGAATGAGTTTGCTTGCCTCACACAGACCCTTTACTGCTGTTTCTAATTAAGCCTGATTGTTTGTCTTTAAACCAATATTGGCCGTGCAATTAGCAGGACTGATTGCTTCATATCCTGTTCCTGAAAAACCTTAATCATGACTTCATCTGTTTAATCACACAACATTTCTGTTCATCCCGCTCTTCTGCCTTCTTTCCAAACTAATCATCGACTAGTTGACACAAAGTTAGGCACGCTGCACGCACCACCCATCTTGTCAAGTAACGTCCAGTTAGATCAAGGGAAAAAATATCTGCCGTTTCAACAATGGAGAGTGTAGTCTGTGTAGGGTCAAGTTTGTGAAGACGTTTTACCGCTCATCCAAGAATATTCTTCACTTATTCGCACATTTATGGTGTGTTCCTGAATAAGTTGAAAGTTGGATTTTTTTTCCTGCTCCCAGTAGGAACACCCACTCAACTCGGATGTCCTACTCACAAAGTTTGAGCAGCCCAGAGTTAACAGTCCATGATGGCGGCATTGAACATAGAACTTTGAAACTTCTCTGTAATGCCACTGTTGTGTATTTGTGACTCACTAAATAAGCCATACTCAGAGCACTGACCAGGCCATATCCATGACTGTGCTTTTAAGTGCAAAAAACAAGTGTTTTGCTGAACTGCTAGTAATGCCTGGATTGCTCTACCGTGTTTTTCGTGTTTTTTGGGAACATGCTAACTCAGGAGTGGTGTCACTCCCGAGTTCTGTGGTTTCTGGAATGCAGCGTTAACCCCTAGTGGGGATTGCGGTCTTTGGAGGTGGTCCTGACCTATCAATCATGTGAGTCATCACATAAGCCACGGTGTGAAGAAAGGCGTGTCATTAGCATAACCAGGGGTTAAAGGTGAAACCAATGTAGGGCCTTGCCCCACTCTATCATATTGCCTATTGAGATCCATTTAGGTTAGGTGTGAGTGTTGGAGTTAAAGAACCTGGGAGGAGGTCTTAAGACTGCATTGTAAGTGGCTGATAGCTGGTATCATAAGCCACCACCTCTATTCACCTTTTTGTTTTTTACTTAAGAAGCCTCTTGGATGAGAGATAACATGTCTTCGCAAACCTCAAAAAGTAGATTTGCCTTCTTTTTACCAGCATATAAGACGATGAATAGCCTAGTAGTATCTCATGACCACTGGATCAATAAAGGCAGTAAATATAGTACCTGTAGCTTCATCAGCATCCCTCTATCACTAACCAGTATCTTCTCTGGTTGGATAATCCAGGAATAGAGGCCTGGTGTCTTTGATGTGTTTTTTCTTAGTGTTGATATAGCAGCAGCTATTTGAAAGCACATTTATTTTCTAATGCCGCATATTTCTCTCATATCCACTGCTTCAAAGTGGAATTAGACATTTGAAGTTTCATTCTCTGCTCCAGGAAAAAAACCACTTGAATACAGTGTTGGTGCTAATGATGTGGTGTTATTGTATAAACAACATAATAGCATTCTTATAGACAGATGATATTCCTAGAGTAGATTTATGCCTGGTGCCTGATGCCAATTTTGACTTAACCTTGAATTGCACAGGACATTGAAAGTGGTCCAGTTGGACCAATCAGAGGATAGTGAATCATTATCCTGCTGCTCGAGTTGGAAATCCCTACTTATCGTGGTTACAGAATGCCTGACTTATAATAAGCGAGGGGGAAAGAGCAAAACTGCATAAATGATTGGCTTGTCTGCAAATGTCTCTACTCAGCATTTTAATATTTGCATATGTGGTGCAGTGATATAGTGATCTTTAGTAATATCCATCAGTCTCACAATAGCAATATTACATAATTTCACAATTTCCACAATAAAAACTTTGCTTGTTTTTTTTTTTGTTTTGTTTTTTAGTATAAATTAAAATCCACAGTATGCAAATTGCAATGAAAGTGTTCATCAGCCTTATTCAACAGCTAAATGGTTTCCATGTCCTCGCCATATTGGATTTTAAGTTCATTCTTTTGGAATTGGATTTGAAAAGGATCTGCCGAAGGATGAAAATGTTCATGGTTCTTATCAGCTGGCTTTCTTTAATTCGTTTATTCATGATCTCTCACACAAATTACTATCTGACTTTGTCTGCATTACCTCCACTGCCATATGTCAGCTAGACACTGGTAGATGGTGAGAGGGGCCGGCCGTTTTAATTACGGAGTGGTCCGAGGCACACCAGTAAAAACCTCGCTGCTGTTGGCAGCAAACGGTGCATGAAGGTGTTCTCCGGGCCACATGTTTAATAGGACTCTAAAGTTTTCATTGTCATGGCTCGTAGTGGAGAGTCCATCTTTACCAGAATATTGAATTCAGAGATGCTTTGCAACAGCTTAATATTTTCTTTGTGTTATTTGAGGTCATGTTGCATGGGGCAGTGACTAAATGTATCCTTATGCCCATCACAGTCAGAGCAAAAAGCACGTGTTTGTGAAATGGGTGTGTTTGCATTTGACCTGCAGTTGTGTGAGGTCAGTGTTTATCTTTGTTTATAATGGTCGGATCCTTGATCAAGGCGCTTTCACGTTTCGGTGCTCGTGTGATTTTTTTTTTTTTTTTTTTTTTTTTTTTAAAAAAGCAAACAGCAGGTGGAGAAACAGAAGGAGAGAGAGGTCTGGTGTAATTTGGCAAAAATTGTATTGCAGCTTAATCAACCTTTCTACACGTTTATAGTCCTCCTGTCACTGTCAGAGCACTATAGGTCAAAATCCATGTATTACCTGTGAGCTGCTTGACATTTAGCTAATTCAGTTTTATTTATATAGCACCAAATCACAGCAGCAGTCGCCTCAAGGTTCTTTACATTGTAAGGTACACTGTACAATAAATGGAGAGAGAACCGCAACAATCAGGTGGCCCGCTGTGAGGAAGCACTTGGCAATGGTGGGAAGGAAGAACTCTGTTTTAACAGGAAAGCTCATGGAGGGGGAGCTATCTGCTGCGACTGGGTGAGGGAGACGAGAAAAACGCCAGGATCCAGATTCTTTAGAGCTCCAATGTCGGAACTCGGGAGTGACGTCGTTCCAAAGTCAGTGCATTCTAGAAAAAACATGGAAAAACAGGTTTTGCTTTGGTTCTTAGCAAGGTAAAGAAATTGATTTAAGATTTATTCTGGAAATCGGCAAGAATATCACACACACTGGTTCCCTAAACAACTACACAACAACGGAGGGATTAAACAGTATTTTGTAACAGTTTTCAGTGCGTGTTTGCTGTCTGCTGTCCATACGCCACTTCACTATATCTTAAACTTGAATGTAGCTTTATTAAAAAACAAAACAAAAGCAGCTGGTGTAAATATCCTAATGTTCAGTTTCAGAAAAAACAGACACACTCGCTTCATAGAAAAATGATTGGAGGCTATTTTACCATCCAACCAGCAGTTTTAAAAAGGCACAGTGGAATTGGACTAATTATATAGTTAAGGGGTAAAAACCAGATAAAAATGAACTTTTAAAACATGGTTGGAGAAATGACTAACAAGAAGTGCAAGAGAATTTTTGTTGTTGTTGTTGTCATTTGTCCATAAACTAGTTTCCTCACTCGCATGTCCAAAAAAGTCAGCTGTCCCTATAACCCTGTTAATATTTGAAGCACAGCACTCCCACCCTCCCCCATCTGCCGAGGCATTTATCTGCTTCCCTTGTGGTCATCCCATCTGTACGTCAAACATTCCCAGTCTCCCATTATCCCCACCGACCCTCCACTCCCTCTATCCTCCTCCTCTTCATTCCTGACCCCCCCAACTCATGACACCACTCCCTCTATCCTCCTCCTCTTCATTCCTGACCCCCCCAACTCATGACACCACTGCCTCTCGTCCTCCCGCTGCCACTGCTGCTCCCGTTCTCCTTCTGTATCAGTCTTTGTCTTCCTCTTCTTTTTTTCCTCCCTGCCAGTTACAACGATCGGAGCAGTAGCAAGAAGAAGACGGTTGCTCTGTGGGTTTAATACCTGATATTTAAATCTCGCCGTTCTGTGTCGACAAGCCTTGAAAAGGGAGCTCTGATCTCGCCTGCATCAAGGCAAGTAAGCAGTATTGTCTGCTGTAGTTGTTGTGATGCCGATGGCTTGGGGATCGCTCCTCAAATGGACAGGGTTTGCACAAGTCTGTGTTCACGTGCGTGTGTCTGTCTGTGTGTGTGTGCGAGTGATGATGAATTGCGGGACTGGCAGTGCAGACAATTGGACGACCCGTATATAGGCTAAGAGGACGGCTTGGAGGGAGGTGTGGGCTGAAGCCGTGGGGATCGAGATGGGGGTAGGGTGGAGTTTGGGTGTGGGAGGAGGGCAAGAAGCGGGGGGGATGGGCAGAGAGGAGAAAAGAGAGAGGGGATGGAAAGATTGGGGGACAAACACACTCAAATCAGTGTTGATTCTAGCTAGCTAGTCAAGCTAACATAAACATGAATAAGCATTTAGATGTATAACCTGTGGTTGGATCAGAGCTCACTGTCCTGTCCAATACGAGCGGGTTTTCGTCTGTGTCAACAACGGACACACAAGCCGCCTCTCTGGTCATGCTTTAAAAATTGCAGTCGGAGA